AAAGATCATTGGTTCACGCCTCCCCTGAGACGTGCTGGGCCATTTATCACAAGGGAGGAACCAGTTAATATCCCTAGTCTTAGAGAACCCTCGCAGGGTACAAAAGAGTTTGCCAAACGAAAACGGAAAAAGAGCTTGGAGTACACAACGGTAGAGATCAAAAGAGGGCCTAGCGGTACGTTTTGGTTGTGATAAAAGAAAACATATCATACTACCCACTTATGACCTACTCTACATTACTATTTTGATTCGTTTTATTAGAAAAGGACCATAATCAGTTCCGGTTATCACATGACGTATCAAAACATCGAAATATAAACTATTAATGTTATAAAGGCATTTCTCAAATTTGGTTTAGAAATCAGTGTTATGGGTCACAAGAAAAAATCTCGAGTCAATTCGATGTTTGGTTCCTGAGTTATGAAGGTTGAGTTTGTGTCACGCAATACCGTGACGTCTATCTTAATGGCGATCAAAATCGTAAAATAATTTACTCTAATTGAAAGATTTTCCCTTAGACACGTTTTGAATATCTATTTAAAGTATATTTAATTGAATTATAGTCAGAAATATAAACAATTCCATCATCTTAAGCCTTTGAAATTTCGTCCGCTATGTAGGTGTACCAACTTGGAACACCAAGATGGCCGCTCCATACATTTTAACCAAATTGCTTCATGTTTACCCGCCTATAGTTCCGCAACGAAATGCTTTACAGCGGTATCGAAATTTGGGCAGAATATGTAGTTTTGTCCGCTTTACAAGATTATGAAACTTTTATTTCATTATAACGCGAATTTACGCTTTTGAAATTCATGATGATGTAAGTGAAAACCAAGAATACAATTAATACCTTATCGTGCTAATGCACCGCCTGCCGCCACTTTGATGGTGGGTTTAATTTCATTCTGGTCTGGACATACCCCCATATATATTTCGCGTTATTGACGTCAAATTATTATTTTTACGTCAAATTTATTATTTATTATAGTGTATTTTAAAAGCCATTGACGGGTTTTCAACATGTTCTTCGACAGGAACAAGGTGTCGATTTGAATGAAAAGATATTTCCCATCAGAGAAAAATTCCCCATTATTCTTGTATCATACAACATGGCTTGTGAAATGCTTGTTTAGCTTTTAGTGATTCAGATCAAAATTAATGGTACATGTACTTGATTCCGTTTCAGATGAGTTAGGGTTCAAGATTGAAGGAGGACTTGATTCCCCTATCATTCCTGGGGATCCAGGAATATTTGTCCAACACGTCGTCCCAAAAGGACCAGCCTATGCTAAGCTTTACCCTGGTGATAGAATATTGGCGGTAAGTTATTTTTTATGCAGGAACTCAACCCAATAGTCAGTGTAAATGGGGAGCTAGGTGCCGTTTCTTGGATATGTACAGTGGTTTCTACGATGCAAGGGAAAAACAATACAACCAGTACTTTTCAACTTTGAGAAATTAAAAAAATCCCGTCATGTCATAGAAAAAAAAAAAAATGCATTGTTCTGGCTTTTTTTTCATTGCTGTCGTGAAAACACTTTATTTACTGAGTGTGCACCGTGAAATGTGTGTATAAGCTTGTTCGAAGTTCGAGGTTGAGAAAAAACTGGGTCGAGTTGCATTGCATTGTGGGACTGTTTTTGATGCCGAAATGGACACCGCCTTGACAATATGGAATCAAGGACAAATACACAAAGTGAATTGCATTGGAAATATGCTGCAAAGGACCTATGTCTCATCTGCATGGTGCGTTTCGATTGACAGGTCAATGACGTAAATGTTTCTCACGTGACACGAAGGGAAGCCAAAGAGATAATCAGTAACACAACAGGACCGGTCATTGCGATTTACGTCAAAAGAGCAACTCGGCGACAGGTATGACGTGATATAACTTAGATTGTTTATATGCGACATAGGAAATCTACCAGACAATCTTAGGACTTAGGGCAATTAATTCCCGTATACTAGAGTGACCACAGTAAATCCGTGAAACACTAATTACTAAATAGTACAAAATAGTGCTAGTTAAACAATAGAAAACAATGGAATTTGCATGAAATTGTGCTATTTAGTATTACTAAAGTTTCATTGATTTACCAAGGGCGCCAGGACAGACGGATTGGGTTTTAAATATGTGTGATTGTTTCAGTTATTCGTAGATTTCTAATTGAATTGATATATGTTTGTTTCTAAATGAATACTAAATAGTGTTCACTTATCTTTCCATCCAACGGTCTTTCTGGTTCGAATCAGCCGTACGATATGAATATATTTACCACGTTCACCAACGGTCTTTCTGGTTTGAATCAGCTGTACGTACGCTCTGAGTATTTACCGCTGCACTATCCGTGCCAAGCAGCGCCGGCGCCGCTTCGTTAGCGATTACTCACCTTTAATAAGTTAATCAGATTTACCTTCAGTACAACATCCCGCGTGTTTTGATCAGAGTATCAAACACGGAAAACTGTTTTTGATCTGTTAAATAAATCATACCTGGCCTAACAAATATTTCATGACAAATATTTGTATGATAGATATGRGTTGCTATATCTTTTATACATCAAAAATCTGAACATTCCAATTTTATTATCAACTTATTTTCACAGCAAACGATTCAAAGTATCCTATCTGGAGTAAAAGCCAAAGATAGCTTTTTTACTAAGGAACARCTAGAAGGTAAAATGATGCTTTCATAGCGCGTGTGCTTTCAAAAAAGGTTTTTGTGGACCCTTCTTGATGTCTGTTTCGGTTCTTTCTTGGTTTTCTTCCTTGCGCTTTCCTTGGATAAGGTTCCTCCGGTGTCTCTTGATTTTATCCGTGGGCATTCCTTGAGTATCTCATGTTGTCCCTTTAGTTAGGTGTTCCTTGAGTGCCCTTGTTTCAGTGTCCCTTGAGTGTCCCTTGTTTAGGTGTTCTTGCGTGCTAATTGAGTTTCCTTTTTGTCCCTTATGTGTTCCTGAGTGTCCCTCGTTTTAGTGTCCCTTGAGTGTCCCTTGTTTAGGTGTTCTTTGCGTGCTAATTGAGTTTCCTTTTTGTCCCTTGTTTATCCCTTGTGTGTTCCTGAGTGTCCCTCGTTTCAGTGTCCCTTGAGTGTCTCTCGTTTAGGTGTCATTTGCGTGCTACTTGAGTGTTCTTTTTGTCCCTTTTTTTATCCCTTGTGTGTTCCTGAGTGTCCCTCCTTTCAGTGCCCCCATGAATTTCCTTTCTTTGTCAACTGCTATGTTCCTTGGACGTTTCTTGRTCGCTTCCTAGTGTTCTTTGGGTTGTCCGTGCGTGTCCCTTGAGWTACCTCTCGGGCTATCCTCTGGTTGTCAATGGGCTTCCTAACAGTATYAATTAACATCTTGTTTCCAACAAATCTCGGTTTTAGAACTGGATGATGCATTTTCAGTGTTTAGTAAAGACACATCGGGATTCGTTAAAATTAGYAAGATATTCAACCTTATTCGGTCGCTTGGTCATAATCCTGCTGAGCACGTGGTCTGGGTCTACCTCAACGAACTCGGTTTGACAGGTTCGATATGTTGTTATTTTCTGTAAAGWATATTTGAGAAAAAACGTCTTTGTATGTATGAAAATGTTTGTATATCGTGTGTTGTACTAATGTTATTCAAACAAACGTAACCATCATTATATCAAACAACTAAGCTTCTTATCTACCAAATATCCAACCGAACCAAACAAACGACCGACCGATCTATCCAACAATCAAGAAACCAAGCAACTAAGGAAACAGACAACCAAGCAACTAAGTAATCAACCAAGGAAGCAACCAAAAGACCGACAGAACAACCGACCGACCGACAGACCGACAGACCGACAGACCGACAGACCGACAGACCGACAGACCGACAGACCAGCCGAACAACCAACCAATCAATCGACCAGTCACCACCTCTAGCTCATCGACCAACGGATCGACCGACCAATTTACATTTTGCAGTATTTAGTATGAAAGTTGTGCTGCTGTTTCAGTCTACTTTACAACGTTATAGCCATGTCTAATTCTAACTTTTGTTACCTTTCAGCTAATTCCAAGTTGTCTTTTTACGATTTTGTGGAGTTAATGACTGTTATAGTATCGGAACAAAACAGAGAGAATGAGTTATCAGCAGCATCTAACGTGTTTGATACAGAAGAAAGAGGGTTTGTGACTGTGATGGAACTAAAAGAAGCATTTGAAAGAATGCCCGGAAGAGAAAGCATGTTGGATTCAGAATTGAAGGAAATTATGACAAATGCAGATCCCTCCAAGAAAGGAATTATACGATTAAGAGGTAGATACTTTGATATTCCACCACGTATTGGCTAATGATTGCTTTCACCATCACGTGATGGCTGCCATTAGGGGAGGCATGGAAAATGTGATCAATCTGGTCTGATTTACRCGAGCAAGAATTCAGTTTACTTATAATAACGGGGTTCTTATTACTTGGGGGGGGGGGGGGGGGGAAGAATTTATACTGTGTCTCCGGTCATGGCTGCCATTATGGTATCGTGCAAAGCCTCTTGATAGAAATTACAATCGAAGTCATAACTTACTGTTCTTTATTTTTCCCCACAGATTTTGAGACTCTTCTTCAGCCGTCAATAACATTATATTAACCATTGTGCGAATAGGAATTGTCAATTAGGAAATAAGAAAATACCAGACAACGCAAGTCAACGCTGGACGTGATTGAGAAAAATATTTATTACGAGCGCCCGCCTGTAAGATAAGGAGAACCAATCGCTGGACGAGTGCGGGCATGTAGAGGTAGCAACAATAATCTTCTATCAACGTTGTAAAGAGGCATACCCACACCGATGACTGCTAGAGGCAACACCTGGAAAACAATGCGAAACATAGCTAATTGCGTTCAGCATAAACGCTATCTATTACAAGATATATATAATATAAATATACGCCATATATTAAAAAATTAAAAGCGAAGAATTAAAAAAATCTTTTGATGGTTTATAAACGTCCATTTTGGATGCCCTTGATTTTATACAATGAACTTTATATGAAATCTTAGTATTTTAAGAATGATTTATAATTATRAAATCGTAATAAATGTCTAATAAAATATTTTTCAACGTAGTAGTCTTGTTAACTAAGATAATTCCAAAGGAATGACCATTATTTAACGGGAGAGGGCAAGCACCAAACTAAGTAAAATGAAATTTTCTTAAACCCCCTTTCATGAAGCACACTTTTGTATATGATTGCACAAGAGCCCAAAACCCGGAGCGTACAACTCACCATCTCACGTATCTTAGGAGTTTTCCTAGACCATTGCACGTCTAGTCAGCTACCGTCCTTCATCCCCCTTCCCTTTCCCTTGCTTTGGAGCGCAGCAGCTTTGCAAAAATATTACCAAGGACCAGAACTAAGGTGAATGAACCACATCACGTCACATCAGTTTTATTAGCTTTTACATCAATATATATAGGGTATGACAGTTTTGAATCAATTTGTACTCCAAGGTGAATATTCAATAATATGCATAGGGGTGGGGGTGGTGCAGAATTTATCTGTATTTGACTGATAAGATGGTCTTGTTCTTGATTAGATATTCTATGGTCATTCTCTTCTTCTCGTTGAAGCTTTCTTCAAGCATCCTTCGTATTTCTCGATTATCGGCTCCCGTTGGTAGCTTCAGGTGTTGGTACARCTCAATTCCCGTGAAGACGTCTACGGTATGAACCTCTCTTGCCGGGTCCCAGTAAATACCGGGGTCTGTGACATGGCCACGGATCTCCATTATGTCAGCTTCTTCGTCACTCATCTTTGTGGAAGGATTTCTGTTCTTGCTTAAATATTGTAAAAATCAACAATTAACTACAATCATGTATTTTTTTGAAATTAAAAATGCTTTGGGGAAGTTAACTGTCATTTCTCGATAACGAGAACATGTAGAGTGGCGGAGATGCTCTTCGGAAGTTTTGATAATGACCCCTAATTAAAGAAAATATACCTGATGAAGTCTTCTCAACATTACCTTGAATGGGAGGCTAATATGAAAATACAACAGAAATAACACTTTCTTTTCACTTCTTCTTAACTTTCTTTTGTACTTGAACACCCATGAAACCGCTCTCTGTGGAGACCTTACCAAGCAACGTATGCGTATCAAACTCAATCTCGTACCCGGAGCCTGCTTTTTTTATGGCCTGAAGCGAAGAACGAGGGCTCTGGCATAATCCATGTTTTGGCGCATGCGCATTTTCCGGTAGTAAAATATACTCGATGATAATCATGCTTTCTGAAAAGCGTCATGTGTTTACTTCCGATCAAAATAAAAATAAAAAATCGAGAACATTTTTTGTTTGTTTTTGGCAAGTCTTTTAACCTTTGCGCTTTTATACCGTAAGTCCAAGAAATCCTGGTCTYAAAAAATGGATTATGCCAGAGCCCTAGGTCTTCGCCGCAGGCCATAAGAAATGCAGTTTCTGGGAATGAGATTGCGTCCTACTCTAACCTTGAACACTCGAGTTTTTTATTATATTTATTTTTTATTGGTGTAAATATACTTTTATCTTTTTCTTTCTCTTCCATCATTTCATCTCCTTGGATAGCTTTTATAGACTATAAATACATGCACTAGAATCCTATTGTTTTCGATTCGTGATCTGATTGGTTGAMAAGCTCGAGTGTTCACTGTYAGAGTACGACGACARTAAAATGGTAATRCCATGTGATCGAAGCTGAACACRTTCTGTCGATGTTTACCATGTAAACGCTGTATRAAATTTTCTTGAGCCCAGAACAAAACGGCTCATTCCCTTATGATGTAAACGGCTCCTAACACGATTCAGGTTCACTACAAAGTTATTCACACTTTTCATCCCCCCATTCCTTCCATCCTTCCTATTTTCCAAGTCATACTTTTGTTCCAGGCCGAGTATTTATCTAATTAATGTGACTTAGATCCTATCAGACGATGGYATTCGCGTGATCGTTTTTATATTAGACAGCTTTATAACCTTTTAGAAAGTAGACAAAAAGGGCACATATTTGTCGTTTGTACTATTTAATGCATAATAACTATATGCATACTCTATCTTGTATATTTGAGAGTAATATGTTCAATAGTTTGGAAGTAAAATATTTTTTAAAACACTATAAATTACAAAGAAATGTTTGGTTGCGTGGTAAGTCTTGCTACACGACCATACATTCCTTTGTAAAACATACCGCTTTCAAAAAAATTTTACTCCCAAAATATTTAACACATATTACTCTCAAATTTTCAGTAGTTACTTAATAAGATATTCTCTTTCGATTTCTGGAGTCGGTTTGCTCGTAGCTTGAAATTATTCAAATGCTAATGAGGAAAAAATGTAATTAAAGATCGGCCTATTCTCGAAACTGAAGTTTTTATGAAGCTTTTCAAATCATATTGTTTAGGAAAAAGAACAGGCTATTTCAATACGAATTGAATCTGTTTTCTCAAAGGTATATTAAAGCTATATGCTAAGAAGCGCGCGCGTGGGACTGACTCCAGACGCACGTTATTCTACAAGAGGGTCACCGGGTCATTCATTATATTGTATGGAAATAACGGAATTAGGGACCTGAAATAACTTACATATAATCRGCATCCTTCTTGTTGGTCTAGGATAAATATGCGACAAAAATCAAAATAACACACCGAAACTGACCAAACAAATCAAATTCAATCAAACTAGAAAGAATACCGAAGTTTGGATAGCATGTTTGATCAACAGTGTCTACCGATGCCAATATTTTCAAACAGTAATGCTTTCTAGAACAAAACAAAAATTTACTTTGATAATCGAATATATTTACTGATTTTTGCGCATGTTTTTTCCTTTGATTTTCTCCTAAACATCAAAATGCTAACCAGTTAGTCTGCTGTTTTTGAGCAAGGCACCCCAGAATACTTACATTCTGTACATCGAATAWAAGCCTATTACTCAAACGACTAGTGATTTATTAAAGTACACTAAGGGAGTACGAATATCTGTTTTAGAATATTCTTCTTGAAACGTATATCTAGTAATTTGCTCAGCGGAATTGTAATTTTTGAGAAACAGAAGATAAAAATGTGAAGAATAAAGCATTGAAGAGCGTTGACATTCGGTCGTTCTGGGCAAACACACATTCCGTGACATTGCAAGTGATCTCAATTGTGGCTCTTTATAAGCTTCAAAAGCGACGTTTCTTAACTATAGAATAAAGTTAAAAACTCTTACAAGATGCGACGAAGATTCTTAATAAAGACTCAATACTTACCTTTATTGTGTTGTTGGTTGCTTGATAACTTGAGTGATTTTCCGCTTGTTTAWTTAAGGTTTTATCAAGATCGTTTTACTTGGACTCAGGTTTATCGTACGTCAAGTCACGAATGGGAGGGGAGGCCGTGTTCCCGATGACTAAACGAACAATTATCGATTAGAACTGACTTTTGAGCTCAAAATGAGACTAATGCTATATCATTAAAAAAAA